ACGCTTTCAATATGTACTTAAAACATTACGTTCATAATTTTTTATTGCTCTTAAGTCACAATAATACTATTTATTATTAACTTTCTTATTGCCGGTAGATTATAATACTGCAGCTAAATATAGGTAATTAATAAACAATTTCTTAGTATTTTTATTATTATATTTATCAGTCCATTAGTAGAATAATTATTTTAAATCTACCTATTTATTTATATTGGCTAACGGCCGATGCAAACTCTTTAGACATTATTATACTTTTTTATAAATATACATTTACTTTTAGAATGTTCTTATTATTTGTAATTTCAATTTTATATTTTTTGACATATATCATATTGTTCTGTTCCTTGCTTGCTGTTTAATACATTTATTTCGCTACTAAATTCCGTGTCTACATCATTTCATCACCTCATCACAGTCCACCGCTCCGTAATAATTTATATATTCTTAATTGCATGATAAAATTTGTTAAAAGGAGCTTAAAGTTTTTACTTGATAAATTTCTTTAATTGTAAATAATTGTTATTTCTTTAACAGGGGGGAAAGGGATTGTTAGTAATGCGGACTATCAGTCCAATTGCTAGCAATAATAACAGAGTATACTGTTTCGCCCATGATACCCCCCATGCGTTGCCATTCCTGAGGACTCGGGTGTTATTCCTCTGTACCCAGTAAATTCACGCCTTACCTTACCAGGTCGATCTCAAGGTGGTCCCCCTTGGAAACCATCGTGCTGAATTCCAGGTGTTTTTATCACGGTGGGCTAACTGACCTACCTTTTTATTCTCACCTATCATCCCTCATCCCTGGTGCCTCGTCAGTGTATACCGTTAGCGCAGGCGGGATTACCATTCCATTATCATCCATTGATAAAAAAAATCTTTAACATGATACAAATTGCTCTCATTTCCACATGGAAAGTTCAATTTATGTTATTACTGTGTAATTTTCGAAAATAACGAATTAGTCCCTATCTTAGGCCAATTTCTCGTTGCAAAGATAACAGTTACCTACTTAGTACCATTCTACTAACGTGTGGACGAAATAAAGACAAGTAAATTAAGTTCTAAAAATAGTACAACGACATCAATTCGACTGATGATTACGACATTATTTTTATTTATTACTAACTTGTACCCACAACTTCGTTTGCGTCAATTTTGGGAGTAGGTAAATACTTGTAGATGGGAGAAGGGATTATTAGTAATATAGACTTTAAGTCCCATCCCATAGATAGCAATATATCCTATCAGGTCGGCCTCCATGTGGTTTACCTCTGGAAACCATCATGCCGAATTCCAGGTGTATTTGTATTGAATTCCAGGTGTATTTATCACGATGGACTAACTGACCTGCCTTGCCTTTTCATTGTGACTTATCATCCCTCACTGGTGTCCCGCCAGCGTATACTGTTAGCGCAGGCCGGGTTACCATTCCATTATGCAATATTTATGTATGTATATATATGTATGTATGTGTGTATATATATAATTATTTATAATTTATGTAAATATTTATTTAAATTTCTGTCTTGCACTACTACTGCCCACTCACTACTTCCTATGCGTTAGGTTGACTGGAAGAAATCTCTTTTAGAGATAAGTTCGCCTTTGCTAACATTGTTATTAACTTATTGTTGTTACTGTATGTTTTAGTGCAATAAAGAATATATATTTTTTCCATTGAATATTAATTCTATTATGGCGTATCAATATAAAGCATATACTAGATTTTAAGTTGGATTTTCACTTTTGTTGTAACCGTATTCGAATTGTCCCATTCGTATTTCAACCGTGAAGCAGTTGTGTTTGCATTGCTATGTTTCGGTTTGAAGGGTGGGATATGGCGTGAATTTACTGGGTACAGAGCAATAACACCTGAGTCCTCAGGAATGGCAACGCATGGGGGGTATCATGGGCGAAACAGTCTCTTGTAATGTTGAATATCGAAAAGACAGAATGACGTGTAGCAGAGACTTTGTCACGTTTTTATAAAGATAGCAAATCTTTATCCGCGTCTGAAATCTTAGGTTGTGGATATTTTAATTTTGTCCAATCATCTAATCTAATCAATAATGACAAATAGATAAAAAATATATCCGCATTTCAGGGTTGCCAGACGTGAATTTTGATTTTTAACCAAACGTCAAATAATTTTTCTTAAAATCGATACAATTCCCAATATTTTTTCCTCTGCCATAAACTTTTTTTTTACAGCACAGGGAGCAAATGAGCGTGCGGCTCACCTGATGGTAAGTGACTACCGCCGCCCATGATCACTCACAAAACCAAAGGCATTGCAGGTGTACTGCCGACCTTTTAAAAAGCAATATGCTCTTTTATTGTTTTACTTGTATGGTTTTCTATTATATTTTGTCGTGTATTGAACGATAAATAAAAAATATTTTATATATTAATTGTAATTGGCTTTATAGAAACTTTGTTTTTTTTTTTTTTTTGATAATTCGGAGACATTGATTATTGATTATATTTTTGTTTCCAATATCAAGACGACATAGGCTTTCTGTGTAAACAAAAACAATTGTTAGACGAGCTTTGTAACAAGACGTTTAAATAAGTATTGAACACCTGACCATCGTATGTTTAAATTTTTTGTGGTAAAACAGATAAAGACTTGTGTAATGACAAATGTCATTCTATACACCCATGACGACATGTCATGTATGTATTGTATGGATATTTTTTTCTTCATTAGCGTTATCAATTAATTCATAAATATTGATACAAGTAACAAAGTACGCCTATAAGTTCTAGGGCAAAGACCTTCACAGTGACAATGAAAAATTAAAAAAAAATAGAATAAATTTTAATCATAATGAAATATTACATATATATATATATATAATATTATATTATGTGCAAATGTTACAACATATCTAATTCTACTATTATTTATATTAGTTTGCCAACTAACTAACTGGTTTGAAAATTCGGATGTTCGTTTGGAAATTCAGATGTTCGTTTATTGAATCACATTTGAACCGTTGAATGGATTTAAACTGGTGCACAATTAGACCACAACTGTATTAACATAACAACGGAATGGAATGAGCCACCCCTTCCTTTCCAGTAGGTGTCGTACTTAACGGTCGAGGGATGGTCAGCAGCTTCCCTCTTAAAACATAATCAAAGTCTAACTGCGGTTGCCAATCCGCCTGCCGATATATTATGTCTTTATAAGGGAGGTATATGTTTTTTTTTTTATACAACTTAGAATAGCAAACAAGATGACGACTGATGAAAAGTTATAACCGTCGCCTATAGACATGAGCAGTACCATGGACATAACAGAGTATGGTTGCCATTCCTGAGGACTCGGATGTTATTCCTCTGTACTCTGCAAATTCACGTCATATCCCACCCTTCAAACCGAAACACAGCCATGCAAACACAACTGCTTCACGGTAGAAACACGATGAGACAGAGGTACACAAGCAATCGACTTTTGTACAAAGTCTCCCTCTGGTAAATATGTTCAGCAGTGGATAGTTAACAGCTGACATGATGATGATGATGGGATATTTTTAAATGATTTAATTTAATTTTCTGTCAATCAGTCAGTCATTTTATTATTAAGATTAACAAGTGATTAAGAATAACATAACATGCATGTGATTTTTTTTTATACAACATAGAATGGCAAAAAAGCTGACGGCCCACCTGATGGAAAGTGGTAACCGTCGCCTACAGACATGAGCAGTGCCCTGGACTGATGTGGTAATAATATACAGTTTGAACCTCTATCGTCTATGTCGAATTAAGATCAAAAATAAAAAGTTAAAATTATCTAATAAATAATTTTCCTCAATACATAAATGGGATTTCCAAATCGGATATCTATCCCATTTTATTATCATTTAAAATATTTGCCATAAAATAACATATTTCAGATAGCAACAACTCTTTAAGCTTTTTTTAAAGTAAGTGTTTATTACCTACTTATGTCACGTAACACAGCTTGCATATTAGGTATTGTATATTTTTGGAATCATACAAAAAAATCTTCTATTCATTAACGTAGTTATAAATTTTATTAAATTTTACTATATGTTAGTTTGTTCAAGTGAAATTTCGCAAAATAAATTAGAACTAATTGTTTATATTATATAATAAGTTTACTATTGTAATATTTTGGAGGAAACAATAAAGAGTATCTATATATCTATCTAATTCTGTCAATTTGATATTTTGCATACATCTTTAGTTCTGGTGACTTGATCTCGTAATATAATATGCAATACTCAATATATTAATGTTTTCAAAATGGCCGCCATCACAAGATGGCGGATCGTGTATGCTTTTCAATCTCTTTAATATAGATATCAAATGAAAGGGTTCGAAGAGAAGAAAACGATAAAGTTAGTGACATCACACTAAATTCAATACATTTTGGTGGATCACAGCGCCACGGAGACTGCCATATTGTAATTTTTGTGATGCAATTACATTAATAAATAGAAAAATGTTTTTTAATAGTTACACTTCCTGTGTCAAATAGCTACCGTTTTTTTTTCTTTCTTTTTTTGCACCTTAGAATAGCAAACAAACTGACGGCCTACCTGATGGAAAGTGGTAACCGTCGCCTATAGACATGAGCAGTACCATGGACATAACAGAGTATATTGTTTCACCCATGATATACCCCATGCGTTGCCATTCCTGAGGACTCAGGTGTTATTCCTCTGTACACTGTAAATTCACTGTCATATCTCACCCTTCAAACCGAAACACGGCTATGCAAAACACTGCTTCGTGGTAGAAACACGAATGGGACAGAGGTGCCCAAGCAAATGACTTTCGTATAAAGTCTCTCTCTGATAAACTACACTACTGTATACAAAGGCTGTCTAGAAGAGATTGCTTTAATGATAAGACCTCTTTTATACTCCAAAAATGTAATATTTATTTTTGTATTATTCTTTAAGTGGTGCAATAAAGAGTAAATAAATAAATTAAAAAATATATATTTCAGTCACTTACATGATTTGTGATGAGTTCGATCGGGTTTATAGCTATCATAACAATACCGATGATTGCCAGCAACGCCCCGTACAATATTCGGAAGAACGATTCTGAGAACAAATAAAATACTTTTATCACCTTTTACCAAACAATCAAAAACACACAATTACAGCAAAACTAGTTGTTTTTAATTTATTTTAAATTAAAAAAAAACAAAACAAATTACCAAATTTCTATGTGATCAATCTGAACGTATATCTTTTCAGATAAGGATTTTCCAAATGGATTCATAAATGAAATTGCAAAACCAGTTGTTTTGAATTATTTAAAAAAAAAGAACAAATTAGCAAATTTCTATAAGACCAATCTGAACGTATATCCTTTCAGATAACAATTTTCCAAATGGATTTATAAATGAAATTGTAAAACCAGTTGTTTTGAAGTATTTTGACTTTGAGAAAACTGAATTACCAAATTTCTATGAGACCAATCTGAACATATATCCTTTCAGACAAGGATTTTCCAAATGGAATGAAATGAAGTGGCAACTACTGGCAAAACCCCTCCATGAGGGAGGCTTATGTTCAGCAGTGGACAGTTAAAGGTGGATATAATTCAGATAATGATTATTACTTACGTCGTTTGTAAACAGTGAAGTTTTGTATTTTTATAAGGGACATCCGGCCCTTACTGGCGCGGGCGTGTTGTATAGGTACCTTGCCTATCACCATTTTCACTTACAATCCACTATTTCCTGTAACAAACAGAAAAATAACTATATTAATATATATATATATATATATATATATATATATATATATATATATATATATATATATATATATATATATATATATATATATATATATATATATTCCTGAACACTATAGTAACACCTTAGATTATATAAATAAATTGTCTCCATAGAATTGATTCGACAAAAGCGGGTCAACTTTTTCATGCAATTTTCCGTGATAAATAGTTATGAGTGATTCCTTTATACACGTAACTTTATATATTTATTTCGTCTTATAAATTCTGCGCATTTTAAATGTGTTATATAATTCATTTTATTTATTAAATAATTAAATTCACGACAACAAATGCCTAAGTTTGCCTAAGTTGGCAACGCATGGGGGGTATTATGGGCGAAACAGTATACTCTGTTATGTCCATGGTACTGCTCATGTCTATAAGCGACAGTTGCCACTTTCCATCAGGTGGGCCGTCAGCTTGTTTACCATTATAATGTTGCATAAAAAAAGTTTATAGAACATTGATAAAATTAATTATTTTCTCTCTATCTCATTTAGAGATAAGCCCTCCCTTGCTAACAAGTTGTTAAACTAACCGCTGTATCTTTTGTTCAAGTGCAATAAAGAATATATAACAAAAAAAGTGTCACCTAATTTGATAATTAGCGGACAAAAATTTAACCGGTTTTTGAGACTCGATGCTCTATCTACATAATGTAAAAGTGAACATTTACTTACTAGCCACTTATGCAGTCCTATTGGGAATTTATTACAAATTAATTCTTTAAGATTTGCCGGCAGTTTATTATATATTCTCACTGCCATGGAAGAACAGTTTGAAGTGCATGGAGATATCTATATTATTGGTAATAAACAGTGAAGTGTGTAATAAAATAAATAGTGTTAATAGTCATTAATAAATGTAATTATAATGCTATAAATTATTATTCACATACATACGAATACAAATCATGCGTTATCATTTAAAAACAACTAATAAATAGGTCTTTTATTGGTATGACCGTACCGATGTTATATATTGAAAATATCTTATTACTATTGTACGTGTAAAAATGAGTTTGTCTGTTTGTTTATAGTCTTAGTTCTTTTTTTTACAACACAGGGGGCAAACGAGCTAGTGTCTCACCTAATGGTAAGTGATTACCGCCGCCGCCGTTTCAACCGTGAAGCATTTATGTTTGCATGGCTGTGTTTCGGTTTCAAGGGTGGGATATGGCAGATATAAGAATGTCAACGCATAGAGGGTATCATGGGCGAAACAGTATACTCTATTATGTCCACGGTACTACTTATGTCTATAGGCGACAGTTACCGCTTTCCATCAGGTGAGCCGTCAGCTTGTTGGCCATTCTAAATTGGATAAAAAAGACTACTTTTTATGTGAGTCACACGGATGACTACGTCCATACGTACTAGGACCTGGATGAATAGGCTTTATGAATTTTAAATTAAAATAAAAAAAACTTGAAAACACTTAACGTATACTTAAAAGATATGTAGGTATGTCTTTTATTAACAATACGGTACATTACATCTTTGTATTACGTGTGCAGAAAAAAATATACATAATTTTAACAAACCCATTAAAATAGGCACTTTTTTAAATATAATGTAACTGGTGAGTCTCATACAGTGAACATGTAGCAACAGAAAAAAAAAACTATTTAAAAATTTAAGCGCTTGTAAACACATTTACATGGTTTGAGAATATTCGCGAAAGAATTTACAAGTAGAAACAAAATTTTAAATACCGAACGACTGAGTAAATTGTTGTCTGTGGTCATAGATTGTGAATATATATATATATATATATATATATATATATATATATATATATATATATATATATATATATATATATATATATGGATTGTATTTTATTATATTATATTGGTAAATAATATATGTGTATTAGTTAAAACGAGACACTATTATAACCAAAATACGGAAATGTGAGCAAGAACGATAAGTTTTGTCTTGCTCTGCGTACGCTTTTTTTGCATGACTCCATTTATTTGCCTATCAAACATCAGACGATAGCTAATATACGTAAGTGAATATTACATTAAAATTAGATTAAATACATTATATATTTAGAGAAATTTTCTAACTAAGTGGATCTAAGTAATAGGAAAACTTAGTATTTCACAAGTAAGATTTGATATTACAGTTACACAGTTAGACATCAATTATTTAATAAAAAAAAATACCATGGTATTCCCATACAATTTTAATGATGTATTGATTGAAACGAAGTCTTTGTGTACTTAGTATTATGTTTACATTTCCTATTCAAATTAAATAGATCATTAATTAATAAAAAACAAACCGTGGTATTCCTATTAAATGTTAATGACGGATTGATATAAATCAAGTATTTCTGTACAAAGCATTATGTTAACATTGCCCGTTCGAATTAAATAGTTATGCCACTATTATAAATCGCGAATAAGGAAGTGCATTTTTTATTCGTTCGTTTGCTCAATAATTTTATTTTATTGCTATTTCATAATGCATACGCTCATAACTATATATATATTTCTAAATACACCATCGGGACTTAACGCGATGAAATAATCTACAGGTAAACAGTACCTACATACCTGTCTGCTTGACGTTTCAACAATGCGAACTTTTAAAATTGTATTTATATACTTTATAAACTTATATATATATATATATATATATATATATATATATATATATATATATATATATATATATATATATATATATATATATATATATATATATATTCTTTATTGCACTTATACAATACATACAACGATTAGTAGTTATATAATACTTATAATAGTTCGAAGGCATTCAGGCGGTTTGTCAAAAAAAAATTAAAAAGTTTTTATTCTTATCTGTCATCTTGGATCGACGATAAAAAATACAGAGACCAAATCAGCAAATTAAATATATTCATAAAGCACTTGGCGTTCCATTGTTTTTGCCTACTCTAATGGGAGACAGGCGTTACAGATATGTATGTATGTTTAATATTTTTATTTATGTAACATGCATATAAATGAGTGCATTTGTGTTCAATTCAATAACAAAAGCAGGTTTTATTTTTATTTTTAATCGATTTATCGAATGGAGCAATGTATGTAAAAAAATGGTGGTAAACAATCCTTCAGAGTTGCCAAATTAACAAAAAAAAAATTATTTTAATAAGGTGTTAATAATATAATTCTGTTGAATTTATATATTATAATCAATTACAAACAGATAACTCATTTAGCTATATAACAACTTGTTCCAATTCGCATAGTATTTTTTTAATAAATTACAGTTGAATCTCGATTATCCGAACATTGATTATTCGATAATACGTTTATCCGGACTTATTCTTCACGGCTCTAATTATCGATTTAGAAATGGTATTATGTATTAATTGAATAAATAGGTATAATGTAATCCATTATCTTTATAGCTCGTAATTTCTTTTTATATCTTATTGTCTAAATGACGAATGTAAAACCCTTTACATAATAAGAAAAAAATGCATATTAAAATCTATATATAATGTTTGATTTGGACTTTGAAATCCGGATTTGAAGTGATTATCCGGATTTTCGATTAACCGATACAGATAATCGAGATTCTACTGTACAGTACATATTACGCGCTAATAATATTATAAATTTCACAGAGTTATTATTGTTATTATTTTTTACACAACTTAGAATGACAAACAAGCTGTCTGTCCACCTGATGGAAGGTTACTTGTTCTATTGGAACTTATGAGTCTGAATTTGAAACTATTATGATGCGTGTTATTAAGTGGTGACCTCGTATAGGCAAATGGGGACCTTCAAAACTAGGTTATTCTATTAAATTAGTGTGACCTGCACTTGGTCTAACACAAGGTGATCTAGACTACTATTGTCGCATGCTGACGACGCTTAAAAACTTTTTTTTTATTTACATATTGATGTTTGTGTTTGTAAGTGATCTAAATTGATAAATGGTAAATATTTATTTTTTTGTTTTATTGTATATATTACTATGTGGTCCCGGAATAGAATAGACCTGTTTCTTCCTTTTTCGTGAGTGACGTAAGAGGCGACTAAGGGTGAGTGAGAGATTACCAGCAGCGTCCCTCTTAAAACATCTCCAAAGCCTAACTACAGTTGCCAATCCGCCTGCCAAGCATGGCAACTATTGGCAAAACTTCCAAAAAGCCTATGTACAGCAGTGAACTGAAAGGCTGATTTGATGATATATATATTAACATCTGAGTCCTCAGGAATGGCGACGCAGGGAGGGTATCATCGTCGAAACAGTATACACTGTTATGTCCATGGTACCTCTCATGTCTATAGGCGACGATTACCATTTTCCATCAGGTGAGCCGTCAGCTTGTTTACCATTCTAAATTGCATAAAAAATTGCGAGCAAGTATCGAAGTGTGGTCCAAGGAATTCTGATGTAATTCTGAGATGTCATGAGATGAGATGTTCTGAGATGTCTGAGATGTCCCATTCGTGTTTCACCCACCCATGAAGCAGCTGTGTTTGCATGGTTGCGTTTCGGTTTCAAGGGTGGGATATGGCGTGAATTTACTGGGTACAGAGGAATAACACCTGAGTTCTCAGGAATGGCAACGCATGGGCGAAATCATGGGCGAAACAGTATACTCTGTTATGTCCATAGTACAGCTCATGTCTATAGGTGACGGCTAACACTTTCCATTAGGTGTGCTGTCAGCTCGTTTGCCATTCTAAGTTGCAAAACAAAAAATTGGGAGCGAGTATCGAAGCGTGGTCCATGGAATTCTGAAGTAATTCTGAGATGTCAAACAAAAAAATTGCCACACAATGACAAAATTAGTGCGCAATTTGCTTAACTTGCGCATGTAAGTGATTTATAAATGTAACAATAATTCAATAGCATTTTAATAGAATAGATCTAGTCACGCGAAATGCAATCATTACCATATAATTATATCTAATGATGTGACAGTTCA